GCACGTGAACAAGCAGGCACTGATTTGTCAGTGAAACCCATGGCTAGCAAGTCAGATAAGCCAATTTTTTGTCTTATTTCTTTTTTCTTATTGTAAAATTTCAGAGAAATTTCTCAGCAAAAGGAGCCACAAGTGGAATATGCTGAGTGCCAATATTTGATGAGCCTACATTTGAATTAAATCGAATTTTACCCCACCAAATGGGCTGAAAGAACAGCCTACAAGCTCTTATTTTTCCCCACAGAAACTTTCCTCTCTGGGTTTCACTCAGAGCAGGATTTGGCTCTGCTGCAGGAGGTTTTTATTTACACAGCCCTGGGTTTACAGTCCCGTGAGGAGGAGCTGTGTAAAGGCTGAAATAATCTTTTATCATTTCTGGGGAAAGGCTGGGCACCAACTCTGGGACAAAGCCAAAGCACCTGGCTGGATTCCTGTGTCAGAAAACCAAAAAAACAGCCCCGAAGTTTGGTTATTTTGAGATAATCCTGAAAAGCAGCTGAGTCACAAATTAAATTTAAACAAATGAGGATGGAGGCCGAAGAGAGCTCAGAATTTCTCCAAATGCCACGGACAGGGCAGTGACTGGAAGGGTTTATTTAAACTTAGGCTTTGTAGTTGTGTTGTTGCAATGGGAATGTTTAATAGATGGATAGATTAAAATATGAAAATAAAATAGAATATAAAAATAAAATAGAATATTAAAATAATATTTTAAAATATATTTTCTATTATTTTAATATATGTTAAAATAATAAAAATATAGTATAAAGATAAAATATAATATTAAAGTATTTTAAAATACTTACTATTTACATATATTAAGATAATTATAATAAGATAGAATATAAAAATAAAGGAAAATATAAAATATATTAAGATCTATTATATACTATTTTAACATATGTTAAAATAATTAAATTAAAATAGAACAAAAAGATAGAATATAAAATTATATTGAAATATTTATTATTTTAATATATATTAAAATAGAATCTAATAAAAACATCAAAATGTTTTAAAATATGTTTAAATTATAGATAAATTATAAATTAATTCTAAATTATTAGAACATATATAGTATTGTACAATGATATATAATATACATCTATGTATTTTGTAAATAGATTTTATATTCTTTATTGTTATTTATTATCGATATATTTTCATTTATATTTATAAATTATAAATCTATATATTTGTATTTATATTTATATTTATATTTATATTTATAGTTGTATTTATATTTGTATTTGTATTTGTATTTATATTTATATTCAATGATAAAATATAAATTTTATCTCTGCAGCTCTGTTTCTAAGGGAGGGGGTGATGTGGGGAGCTGAACCCCAGAGTTTATTTTTCAGTGAGGGAATGCAGCTGAGGTTTTGGGTTTGAGCAGACTGGAGGGAACGAACGGGAGGAAAGGAGAGGAGCGGCCTCAGTCCCAGGAAAGGTCCCCAGGGTGATTTTCCCTGCGTGCACTCAGCAAACACCGGCTCGACCCCGAGCTCCGGGACCTGCTGGGTTCCGCAGAACTTTATCAGCAATAAAATCTCCCCAGGGGCTGCCCCGGGCTGTGAGCGAGGATTCCATGGAAAGGGCACAGCCCCTGGCGGCTCCAGCGGCGCTCCTGGGTGTGGAACAGAAACCGGGAGCCTCGGAACCCTGGGGATTCATTTCTGCTCCCTGCTGTTCCTAGAGCCTCTCCGTTCTTCATTAAAATTCATCGTTTCAGTGATTTCATCACAGCCTCAGCAGAGCTGCAATTAAAAAAAACCCTTTTAGTCCTACAGATCCTCCAGAGAAGGAGCAGAAAGACTGGGCCCTGCAGTGCTTATACAGATTTATATATTATGAAAAATGCCAATCACTTCTTTTTAAAATTGTAAAAGTTTAATGGTAATAAGATGGTTATAAAAATAGCAATATAATTAGAGTAATAATAATTTGGACAATTTGGATTAGGACAATATGAGGCAATAAAAACAAAGAGTTAGGGACAGTCTGGGTAACTTTTCTGGGCAAAATAAGCCCGAAAAAGGGCCCAGGTTAACAGAGGATTAACCCTTAAAAACAACAGCCTGTTGCATATTCATACACCTCATCCATGGTGCAGAAATTCCATTCAAACACAGGATTCTGGCTGGGCAGGGTCAGCTTCTTCCTCTGAATCCTGACAGCTCTGCAGGGCTGAGCAAGGCAGGCAGAAGTTCATTTCTGCTGATAAGGGAGCAATAAATTCCATTTCTCTGAAAGATTCAGGTGTCCTGTGGCTGCTATCTCAGTGAGAGTCCTTGCTTTAAAAAAGTATCTTACACAGCACAGTTTCTATTTTAACATTTTGTTATAACCTAAAATTGTATTTAACAGTATAGAACACAGCATACCTTTCTAACACAACACACATAATATTCATTTGAATATTTGCAAAAAGCCAATCATGACATACCCATTTTTCACAGGGAATTAGGGTTTTTTTTTTTAATTTATTTTCTTTTCCTGCCTGTGCTTTGCTTACACCCCTGGCATTGTTCTCTGCCTGCCACGATCTCTTTTAGTGGGCAGCATCCCCCCTGCTCCTCAGCTGAGGATTTTGGGCTCTGGGAGGCGCAAAAATTTCTTTGAGCAAAATCCAGCAGCCTTGGGGAGGAGTCTTTGGAGCAGTAACTGAGACTGTGCAGCAAATCAGGGCCTCAAGGACGCTTTTTGTGAGGCTGAAAACCAAGCAGGGGCTGGGTTTGTGCTGGGGGTGAGGTACCAGGAGTGGGGATCCCTCCAGAACCTTCTGCCAGGAATTTGGGTCCTGTTTCCCCTTGGAGTGACAGGAGTTACTGGAACTGGGAAATATTGGAGTTACTGCTGGCACTGGAGGATTTCTGCCACCCTAAAAACCAAACCAACAACAAGACCTTCCCACACTTCTCAGCTTCCAAGCTCTGCTTAATTTGCCTTTTCCATGGTGTCCCTTCTGCTGGGAGTGTAGTGTGAATAGAAGAGTACAGAAAAAAACCAAGTTACTGCATGAAATAAATGTATTTATTGACAGGAAGGAGCATGAAACAATGTAAAGCAATTAACAATGCAATTAATGGCTAACTGTGGTAGAATATACTGTAGAAGCAAGTTCATCTCTGAGTATATTGAATAAATGATATCTATAAGAATAGTTTAATACTCCTGTCCTTTCACCTGAATGGTTCCCATGACTACAAGATTAATGTTGGATTATTAAATGAGAGTTTTCTATGTTTTTTTTTCAAGAAAAACTGTGAGAAAATTCAGGTTTTTTCCCCTGAAGATGTTCATGGCTGCTCTTCTCTTTGTCCAACACTCTGCTCCACCCTCGTGATGTGGGATTTCTGGGTTGGTTTATAATGAAAATAAAGAGCTGGGTCTGACCCTTCAATCCCACAAATGGAAGCTGAGCTAACCCAGAAGTTCCTCCTAAATTGTCCTCAAATGAATAAAAAGTTCAGTGAGAGTTAAAATGCAAACAGAAGGAAGGATGGGCAGTGGTGGAGGGACAGAGAGAAATATTCAGAGAGGAAAAACATCCATAAAACCTGGGACAAAAAGGGAAAAAGAAAATATTTAAGATTATTAAAACACAAGGGAAAGCTTTGGAAGGAGGTGGATGAGTTATGCAGCTCCTCATGAGAATAACATATAATATATAGAATTTTTAATGAAATACTGAAAGATTGTGAATGATTACGTCTCACTCAAGCTAAAGGAAATACAAAAGAGAACTCTTCAGCTGTTCAGGGCATCAGAATCATAGGATATGACCCAAATCCCACTGGAATTCACTTCAACACTGCCACTTCTCCAAGTTAATTCACCTTGTGCAATGTAGCTCTTGGAGCTTAACACTTAAGGAAACCCCATAACACAAAAATAACCTTTTTTTTTTTTTTTTTTTTTTACCACAAGAAACAAATGCAAAGGGTTCATTAAAATCATTCCCCAAAGATGCTGAGTACTTAACACTGGATCCTGCAGTGGTTTCACGTGGAAATCTCCCATTTTCCTCCACAGGAGACACGTGAGGAGCTGCTGGATCAGTTTTTGGTTTTGCTTTTAGGTTCTGTAAAAGTAGAATTGCTCCCTATGTAGCAAACAGGGAAGTTTCATAGAAACCAGCAAACTCGCAACCAGAAGTTAAAATTAAACGAGAATAAGTCTGGGAAGAAGTAATAAATAATAAAAATTATCTCGTTTATAATAATTCTACTGAATAACTCGGTTTTCTGGCAGTGCAGGATCATTTCAGCTCCTTGCTGTGCTCCCAGCTTTGTTTAAAGAAGTGATCCTTCAAGAGCTGTTCTAGATTTAAATTTTATAAAGGTAAAATTCTCTGTTAGATCTGTTGGAAAGGAGCTGATTCAAAACACTTTGTCCCAGACTTCACCTACAATCCACTAAGGGTGCAAAATTCTGATTGCATCAATAAAAAGCTTGATTTTTTTGTTGCAGAAACATGCTCAGCACGATGCTTGATTTTGGAAGGACTTCACCTTGAGACTGCTTTAAAGTGTGACCGCTCCAGCCTTGGCCAAATTCAGGGCCAGACTGCAGAAAATATGAAATATTTTTAATATTGAGGCTCTGAATTCCCAGAGCTCATGTTTAAAATCACTGAGATTTTCAGTCTATCTGAATGTTGGAGTGCATAGATCAGTTTTAGGCTGAAACCCCAAGATTAAACCCTGGATAGTCAAAATCTTTTTCTTGGGTTAAACACCTGCATGAAAAATCATCAGAGCTTCAGACCTGAGCAGAGAAGCACAAATCTGTGAGAAAATGAAGATGCAATTCTTCCTGGAGCACCTAACACTGAATTCCTGCCACAACCTGCACTGAGGATTTCCCTCATTTATCAGCTTCTTTAATTCTGGGTCCAGGTGAGATCTTTCCAGCAGTCAGTTCAAGGTATAATATAAAATATTCTATATTTTGGTGTCTGTCCTCTGCAGCAGGTGGCCCAGCAGGTGCAGGTGGTGAGAGCTCTCAGCATTTCCCTGCAAGGCAACAAAGCAGCAAATCTCAGCCTAGTCCCAGCCCAGCTGTTCCTGCCAAAGCAGGAATAAATTCCCTCATTTTTCTGGCTGGTTTTGGGGGAGGAAGGAGGTTTGCAAGGAAAATGAGGGAATTCAAAGGCTGGGATGAGGTGCTGAGCGCTGTTTCCAGCAGCTCCATGCTGTGGAGGTTTGATCTCGATGATTTTGGGGTTTTTTTATCCACCCCAAATGATTCTGTGGGATGGGACAGGACTGAGCCACTCCATCCCAGCTGCTGAGACACACAAACCCCCAACTACCTGAACTCCACCTCCTACCACAAAATACCTTGGAGAAGGACATCAAGGAGGTCTGAGGATGACAAGGAGCCAAGGCCAGGGGAGTTATCTGCAGCTGGGGGAGTGGGGATTCCTCTGGGAGCGTCCAGCAGGCTGCAGCTCTGGGCAGTGAAGAGACCAGAACAGTCCATTTCCAGCTGAACTGCACTGAAATGATTTTATTTTTTTTTTTTTTCCTCTCTGCTGGGTTCTGGGAGAACCTCAGTGACTTGAAATGGGGCTTTAAATCTTTATTTCTAATGGAAATCTTGTTATATTATTGCATTTATTACATGCACTCTGGTGGGAACTCTTATCTGACCGAGGCAAAAAAGACCTTGTAAAAGATAAAAGAGATTAACATTTTTTTTTTGTTGTTTTTAAGCACTGAATATTTGCCTAATCCTGGAAATTAATCTTGGAATTAGACATTGCCTGTGTAAAGCAGCCATGGTTACCTCCTGAGGAACATCCTGTGCCTGGGCTTTATGAGTCTGAAGCAAACACATGAGCTCTGTGTTCTCCTCGAGCTTCAGGCAGGGGGTGGAGGTTGGACACGAGTGCAGAACCTGCAGATGACAGCAAATCCCGTGGTTGCACAAGGACAGGAACACTTAAGCCAGGCTGGAGATGTGCTGGGCTTGATCCTCACCTGCAGCTGGGGCTTTGCTCCCATCTGGAGCAGGCAGAGAATCCCCTCCAGGATCTGGGCTCTCCGGAGCCTCAGGACCCTCCCGGCGCCGCTGTCCCTGGCAGAGCTCTGGGGCTCTGTCACCAGCACAGTGTGGGCAAGGGCAGCACAGAGCAGGGGGGTCAGACCTGCGTGGGACACCATGGCACAGTCAAACCCCGTGCCTGACCCCTGGCAAATCTGCATTTTAGGGATTTGGGATCTAAGCCAAGCCCCGTGCTGGAGCTGTGCCTCTCACCGTGGTGGTCAGGCAGATCCACTTCCACACACACCCCATTGCTCTTGCAGCTTTTCAGGACCTGAAATGAGGAATATCCAGGTGATTCCTGACTTTTGGCAGTTTCAAAAATACCCTTTCCTCCCCCAAATCCCTCATAAAAATACCCTTTCCACCCCCAAATTGTAGCCATGATATTTTCTGAAAAATCCTTTCTTTAGGATTTTTTTCTCCTGAGAAGCTGAGAGGCCTCAGGAACAAAATGCAAACAATGGTTATCTGCTGCTGTGGAATGCAACAGGTGCATCTGGGATTGGGCTCATGTGGTTGTTTCTAATTAATGGCCAATCACAGCCCAGCTGCCTCGGACTGTCTCAGTCAGTCACAAGCCTTTGTTATCATTCCTCTTCTATTTCTTTTATTTTATTTCTATTCATTTCTATTTTCTATTTATTTTATTTATTTATTTATATTCCTTTATTATTTTTATTTATTATTTAAATATTTATTTATTATTTTATATGTATTATTTTATTTCTATTTCTTTTCTTTTATTTCTATTTCTATTTATTTTATTTATTAATTTATATTCCTTTATTATTTTTATTTATTATTTAAATATTTATTTATTATCTTATATTTATTATTTTATTTCTATTTCTTTTCTTTTATTTCTATTTATTTCTATTTATGTATTAATTTATATTCCTTTATTATTTTTATTTATTATTTAAATATTTATTTATTATTTTCTATTTATTATTTTATTTCTACTCTTGCTACCCTTCTGATGAAATCCTTTTTTCTATCCTTTTAGCATAGTTTTAATATAATATACATCATAAAATAATAAATCAAGCCTTCTGAAACACGGAATCAACATTCTCATCTCTTCCCTCATCCTGGGACCCCTGTGAACGCCCCCACACCAAATCCCTCTGTAGCCACATCAGAGCAGAGCTGCATGGAACACCCTTGGTTATTTCCAACACCAGGAGGTCCATGAGCTGCTTTTAGTCCACCTTGGCCCCAGCAGAGCCCCCAGTTTACCTGCAGAACCCTCAGGTAGCCATTCTCTGCACACAGGTGCAGGGGAGTTTTCCCAGCGCTGTCCTGCTCGTTGACGTTGGCCCCCAGGGAGATGAGGTCGCTCACCATCAGGTGCTGGTTCTTTTCTGCAGCAAGATGTAAAGCAGTCTGAGAAGGGAAGAAGGGCACAGAGTTGCAGTGGAAGGCAAAAAAAAGTTTAAAAACAACAATATTTTTTAGATAATAAAGCGAGGAGTTGGGATTTTGGGGTTCTGTTCCCACTTGTGCTCCATCACTCCCTCCCCATTCACATTTTCCCCTCTTTTCCAGGACACCAGAAGGATGTCTGGTGCTTGGCTGGGGTTTGACAGAGGCTTTCAGGGGATAAAAAAATGACTTTTTTTTCATGGCAAATGAGCCCCTCCTACCCTTTTCTCTGCATCCTTCTCGTCAATCTTGTTGAGGGATGCAAATCTTCGGGCCAGGGCAAAAGTCAGAGCCCTCCTCCCCTGGGCAACAGCCTTGTGCAGCAGCCTGGAAGAGAACTCAGTTGGGAACAGGCAGAAGAGAAAGGAGGGGTTAAAACCCCCCAAAGGGAGGGGTAGAAACCCCCAAAGAAATGGTTGAAACACCCCAAAGGATGGGTCGAAACACCCCAAAAGGGGGGGTCAAAACCCCCCAAAAGGAGGGGTAGAAACCCCCCAAAGAAATGGTTGAAACACCCCAAAGGAGTGGTGAAAACACCCCAAATGAGGTGTAAAAACCCCCCAAAGAAATAGTTAAAACCCCCCAAAGAAATAGTTAAAACCCCCCAAAGAAATAGTTAAAACCCCCCAAAGAAATAGTTAAAACCCCCCAAAGAAATAGTTAAAACCCCCCAAAGAAATAGTTAAAACCCCCCAAAGAAATGGTTGAAACCCCCCAAAGAAATGGTTGAAACCCCCCAAAGGGAAGGGTAAAAAACACCCCAAAGGAACAAGGAGAGTGCATTTTAAAGCATAAAATACTAATGCTGGAAAAATGCTGAAATTTTGGGATGTTTAAGGGTTTATTGCTCTCTACAGTAAAAGTGCAGTTGCTGATTTTGTCTGCAAAAAATGGGACAGAGAGGGAGGGGTAAAACCTGTTGCCATTTTCATCAGGAGCCAGCAGCTCTTCCTCTGGGATGTTCCTCAGCAAATTTTCCTCCCTGTGCAGCTGGAACTGGAAGAAGGAGAGGGCAGAGAGGTCCTGCCTGGTGAGGGAATTTGGGGTCGGCCTCAAATGTCCCTCCACATCTGGAGAGCCCCTGGGAGCTTCCAGCAGCATCTCTGCCAAGCTGGGGACTGCAGGCGTGTCCTGGGGTGCAGAGTTCCTCAGGAGACATTCCTGGGGTGCAGAGTTCCTCAGGAGACATTCCTGGGGTGAAAAATTCCTTGGGAAACCCTTGTGGGATGGAGAATTCCTCAAGAAAGCTTCCTGGGATGGAGAATTCCTTGGGAAACCTTCCTGCGATGGAGAATTCCTCAGGAGACATTCCTGGGATGGAGAATTCCTTGGGAAACCTTTCTGAGGTGGATGATCCCTCAAGAAACATTCCTGGGATGCAGAATTTCTCAGGAGACATTCCTGGGATGGAGAATCCCTCAAGAAACCTTCCTGGGATGGAGAATTCCTCAAGAAACCTTCCTGGGATGGAGAATTCCTCAGGAGACATTCCTGGGATGGAGAATTCCTCAGGAGACATCCCTGGGGTGCAGAATTCCTCAGGAAACATTCCTGGGATGGAGAATTCCTCAGGAGACATTCCTGGGATGGAGAGTTCCTCAGGAGACATTCCTGGGATGGAGAGTTCCTCAGGAGACATTCCTGGGATGGAGAGTTCCTCAGGAGATATTCCTGGGATGGAGAATCCCTCAAGAAACCTTCCTGGGATGGAGAGCTCTCCAGGAAACATCCCTGGGGTGCAGAATTCCTCAGGAGACATTCCTGGGATGGAGAATTCCTCAGGAGACATCCCTGGGGTGCAGAATTCCTCAGGAGACATCCCTGGGGTGCAGAATTCCTCAGGAGACATTCCTGGGGTGCAGAATTCCTCAGGAGACATTCCCGGGGTGCAGAATTCCTCAGGAGACATTCCTGGGGTGCAGAATTCCTCAGGAGACATTCCCGGGGTGCAGAATTCCTCAGGAGACATTCCCGGGGTGCAGAATCCCTCAGGAGACATTCCCGGGGTGCAGAATCCCTCGTGAAACCCTCCTGGCAGCTCAGGGCACCATCCTGCACCCACCAGCCGCCCCCATTCCCGCCTGTCCTGGAGAACACCCCAGGCGAGCCGGACCTCTGGGTGCTTTCCCGCTGACCATGGAGGGCAGGCTCCGCCTGTCCCCTCAGCATGGGGTGGAAATCTCTCCCGGAGGAGCGGGGGTGAAGCCCTGCTGGTCCCTGCAGGCCCCCGTGTGCCTCCCTGCTCTGCCAGCGGCAGCTCTGCAGCTCCCGGCTGAATCCCTGCCAGAGCCCGTCTGGCACGGGGCGCTGGGGCTCCTCCCCGAGCTGGCTCTGGTTCAGATCCTCCTGCAGCACCTCCACCAGGATGTCGAGGTCCTCCAAGCCTCTGGGGCTTTGCCCAGCGCTCTGCTTGCTCTGAAACAGCAACAGGAGGAGGAGGGAAGGGGAGGGAGGCAGACATGAAGTGTCCTGTTCTCCCTGGGTGATAGAACAGGAATTCTGCCCCAGGAGCCTGGCACAGAGGGGTTCAGGGTGTTCTGCATACCTGTCTAAGCTGTTTCTCTGTATAAGGGTGAGATCTCCTCTTCTCTGCTGGAGAAAAAAAAAAAAAGGGGAAGGAAAGGTTCAGAGCTGAGGAGAGGCACACACAGAGCAGAGATTGCCACCAGTGCTGCCCCAGGTAAGAGCCAGATAAGCCAGGCAGGGTGGTGATGCTCAGCTGGAGTGGAAGGGACCCAGCAGGGACCACTGAGCTTGGGACAGGAGTGCTCTGGCTCTTTGGGTACCCCACAGGGATGATCCTGCTAGCAAAGGAGGCTCAGTTACCAAGTGAGGCGTTTCCAAACCTGTTTTTCCTGAGGATCCTTTGGCTACCATCTTCACTGCTGAGGCTTCCTGAGGAGACAAAACCACCCAGCTTCAGTGTGAGGAGCTTACAGGGAGGAGAGATGAAACAGGGGCAAATACTGGGACATGAACAGGGTGCAGTTGCCTCCTGGGCTATGGGTTCTGCTCAGCAGGGGCTTGCTGATGGACAGATTTCCACGAGTGGGCAATTCATTCATGGCAGCTTTAGAAGGATCTTTACAGCAGCCTGGGAGTTGATCAGCTCCTTGGGCTGCTTTTGTAGGTTCTGGAGCAATATTTTTGCTGTTTATTGGGCCATCTTTGCCTTGACTGAATGATGCACAGCACCCATGGCATGGATGGGTTCCTGCTGCCACTGCCTTGGAACTGCCCCTAGCCCAGCCCTGGTTCTGTTTGAAATTTGGTTTATTCTCCACTTTTAAAAGCATTGGTGGCTGGAAGAGGCAGCAGCTGCAGAACACCCAGTGGGGTATGGCTGTGTGCCCCAGGGTGCTGCAGGAACCCTCCCAGCCCTGGGCATTTCTCACCTTGCCTGGAGCTGGGTCCAAGCCTTTGGACAGTCGGATTTTCCTCAGCAGTTCCCGCACTGGCATCTTCACTCTCACACCCATGTAGCGCTTCTGAGGGGGATCAGAGCTAAGTTCAGAGTCTGGAAAAGTCACAACACGATGCTGAAAGTGACACAATTGTCTGAGCTGCTGGGGAAGGGTGGGAGGGCGAGGGCAGCCTGGGGAACGGGCTCTGATCCCCGTGTTCATCATCACTTGTGGGAAATTTCCACATCTCCCTTGGCTCTGCTCAGTAACTCCTTCAATGAATTCCTTCTCAGTTTTCCTGCGTGCCACAGAGCGTGGATTTGCTTTTGGGGAATGTGGATTTGCTTTTGGGGAATGTGTCAGCAGTGTTTAGGTGTCTGCCCCTCTCACACTCTCATTTTCCTGTGTTGTGGTAAATCTGCCTTTGCACTTTCCTGTCCTGTGGTTTGTGAAATTGTTATCAGTGCAACAAGGAGCAGAATTTGTTCAAAATGAAGATGGGGATGCTCTGTCCAGTGGCTTTGCCCCGTGGCTCTCAGTGTGTTTGGGAGTTTTTGTGTCCTTCAAAGTGAAACAATGATTTTCTGCACTGAAATGGAACAGTTACTTGAGAATATACCTCGTTGTCCAAACAGGCTCTCTCTCTGTCAAAACAAGCTGCTCTGTGATTGTTTGTGTTAGGTCTCCTTGCATCTGGTGCCTGCATCCCCAAACTTGAAAGACTTGCCCAGATTAGGAGCTTAAATCCATTGGCTTTTGAAATACCTTTTATGTAACTCTGGCATTCACATCCCTGCCTTGTGTGTCCCCCTGCCTGGGATAACCTTTATCTAAAATTCATTCAGTAACAGATATTACCATTAAAAAATTACAGATCTCATGCATCAGATCAGGGCTTTCCCAATGAAATATGGAAATGAACAATGGAGAGAGCCCCAGCTCCAAGGGAAGCAGAGCCTGGGATCCTGAGAGCAGGAGAAACTTTCTGCTCCCACTGCAGCTCGTGGCAGGAGGAACAGAAACAGCTGCTTGTGATCAAACACAATTCAGGATGAAACAACACAACAGCCTGAAATGAAAGAGGTGCATTGGTCCAGAGGCTGCTGGTGCTGTTAAATCCAACAGGAGCTGCCTGGGCCAATATTCCTGACCAAAATCTGTGCGTGGGATCCCCAGGAGGGGAAGCAGGGGAGCTCAGCAGATGGGAATGGAGCAGCTCCTGGTGAGAGGAATGGTGGATTTGTCTTTCCAAACCAGCTGTGGGGCTGCTGGTGGATAAAACCAGCACTGGGAGAGAAAAGAAACAATGGGAAGCATTCCACTGATTGATGAATGGAAAAAGAGATTTGCTTTTACAAATAAACTTTAGGTTTGCTGAGAAACGAAATTAGACATTGAGAGATGAAAGAAGCAATGGGGAAGAAAAACCCCTGAATTCCATAAGAATTAAAAATGAAAAGGGAGGGTTACACATTAGAGGGAAATCTTTGGTATCAGGTGTGTTGGGGAATCTGAACCTCTAAAGTACCTCAGCCAATGGGGAAAACCCCCTGAATTCCATAAGAATTCAAAATTAAAAGACAGGGTTGTACATTAGAGGGAAATCTTTGGGAAATCTCTGGTATCAGGTGTGTTGGGGAGTCTGAACCTCTCAAGTACCTCAGAACTGGGCAAAGAGAGAAGGGAAATGTGGCTGGAAATTGGGATAAAAAGGAGGCTGCATCCTCCAAAACTTGGAGAGACCCCAGGGGATGCCCCATGGCCTCTGCCTTGATTGGAATAAAGCCAAAGGACTCCTCTGTCTCCTGTTTGGACACCAACCTCTGGTGTCTGTGGGTTCATTTTCCTAGCCTGGGATGGCAGAGAGCAGCAATCCTGGCAGGGGAACCAGCCCCACAAGATGTGGTTTCTTGTTGCGTGATTTTGTTTCCCAGCCCTCCAGCAGGAGGGAGCGATCCCCATCCTGAGCAGCAAATGGAGCCTTTGGAATGGAGATGGGGCTGTTGTTCTGTGCTGAGACTTCTGGCACTTCTCAGTGTTTAACCTATCACTGAATAATCAAAACACTGAACTCTCCAAAAGCAGAGTTTGTTTCTAGAAATGATTTTTTTTTTTTCATAGATTGGTGTTTTGGTAATGAATTATTTACTGTTTGGAGAGCATTTCAAAGGTTATCCTGAAAAGCTTTATAACAAGCTGGTAAGATTGCTATGTGTTGTTATCTGGGAAGAGTTTCCAGTGACAGATCAGACATTTCCTAGGAACTGAGGGACTCTGCAAAGGCAGTGATTCACCAGCCACACTTTGCTGTGACTTTGAAATGTTAATAACTCAGAAGGTCACATCTATTACCCTGCTGTTAGCTCAGAGCCAAACTTGCAATTCAGAATGCAAATGAGCAGCAAAGCGCTGGAGATGGACAGAAAGGATGGAATATTGGGCATCCTTTGGAATTTCTGACCTCAGCAGCAGAACACAGCAAAATCCAGCCAAGCCTGAGTGGGGGGAATCTGAACATCTCTGGGATTGCTTTGTGCTGCTCAGAGCCCCAGGCCCCGCCAGCTGGTGCAAGAAGCACAAAGTAGGGAAGGGGAATAAAGATTTTTCTCTTACCAGCAGCAGCAGGCATCCCTGGAGGGTTGCATGGAGGAGGAGGAGGGTGGTAGATCTTGGGGCTCGCCACGTTCAGCTCAGTTAATCCAGAGTCTGGCAGAGATGGGCTCTGCTGGAAGCAGCTCTTGGGACTAGCAGTTTCTCCAGGCAGGGGAGATCCCTGGCCTGGGCTGTAGCCACAGATTTCACCTTCTTCACTCATGTTTTGGTTGACAAGCAGCTCAGGGCTCATGCAGACTGTCTGCAACATCTCCACTCTGTGTGTGTGTGCAGAAAAAGATGAAAGAGAAGAGGGGAGGGAAAAAAAAACCCCTGCTCAGTTGTGTTAAAAAAAAAAAAAAAAGTAAAAATCAATCCAGTATCACATGGAGACCGTGGCAATGTAATTAATCCTCCAATGTAATTAGCTGAGTCCAGCTTCCCTCTTGTCTTTGGAGCAGCAAGTTCCAGCAGGGGAAGAATGAAAGCAGCCTTGGGATCCCAGCAGGCACTGGAAGCAGCTTTTGAGAGTTTCTTGGCTGCAGCTCTGCTCTTTATACTCAGGTATGGTTTGGAGGATGGCAGCCTGGGAAGGCTCCACCCTCTTTCCTTACAACCTGAGCAGCTGATGAGGAAATGAGTTTTCCCAGGAAAAAGCTGAGCTTCAAGTTGATTTTTTTTTTCCCCCCTGCTGTGAGAAACAGAAAAAAAAAAAACCCCAAAAACTGATTTACTGGAAAGGGAAAAGCAACCTCTGACCTGGAGTTGTGCAAGTGAGTAAAGTGGTAGTAGATCCTCAATTAAATGTTTTGGGAATTCCCAAAAGGGCTTTTCTGGCATAGTGGGTGAGTTTTGTTCTCAGTAGCTGGTGCAGTGCTGGGTTTTGGATTTAGCAGGAGAATATTTGCTACCAAACTGATGCTGCTGTGCTTGCCCCAAATGAAGGAATTTTCCCAGAGAGGAGGTGCAGGAGGAGCCCTGAGGGAGCAGCTGACCATGGCCAAAGGGAGATCCCATCCTGCAGGAAAATGTACCCAAGATTTAAATTAAGGGACTGAGGCACCAGTCTCAGGGCAGCAGCTGGAGGGAGCTCTTGTGTTTATTGTTTTAATTGGAGTTTATTTATTTATCTCTCTGATAATGAAATGATAATAATTTCCTTCTAGTATTCATCTATTAAACTATTCTTATCTCAACCATGGTTTTTTACCTGCTCACAGCTCTCTCCCCACCCTGCCAGGCACTGTGGGGTGTGTGGTGCCACAGGGGTTAAGCCATGACAAATGGGGACACTTCCTATAGGAAATCTATTTCCTTGTCACCAGATCTCAGTGTCAGATCTCAGCTCCATTCCCATGTCCCTGGGAAATGTATTTCACCCTGTGGGCTGTGCCATTTCAACTGAACAAGCAGATATTTCTCTTAAGTAGCTAGATTGGAAAAAGGATTACGATGTTATCAGTTCCATCTCCTTCCCTGGCTGTGCCCTGGAAAGCATTTCAGATTTAATCCCAAACAAAATCATCTTTTCATCTTTGCCCTCAGCCTGGGCAGAGAGCAGCCAGACTTTCTGGGGCAGATTGAAAAGAACAAGATGACATTTGTGCTGTGGTTTAAAGTGGGCAGTGACTCCTCTCCCTGGCCTGGCCAACCCCATCTCCCGCTTTCTCTGCACCGGGAGCAGCAACCACAGGCTCAGGGATGTTGAAAGGATTATTCAGGTATTGATCAAAGGAGATTTGGTGCTTGTAGAACAAGCAGGGAATCAGGAGCTGATCTGCATTGCAGTGGCCCTTCCCTGGCTGCCTGCCCCACTGATTATTGCTGATTTAATTAATGCAGCTGGGAACGGGGACGGGTGAGGGAGAGGCACGGCTGGGGCCAGGCTGTGCCACCATCACATTTTCTGAAAAGTCCTCCCTGCCCAGGATTCTTCTCCTGGGAAGCTGAGAGGCCTCAGAGAAAAAGAAAAACAAGAATTATCTGATTTGCTTCTCCTGTGTTTTGCTGCTTTGGAATGTGGTTTGGACATTGTCTACCACCTGGTCATTATTTGATTGATTTTATGTTAATTGTTTTACCTTAATGGCCAATCATGGTCAGGCTGTGTCAGGACTCTGGAAAGAGTCACAAATTTTTCATTATTATCTTTTAGCCTTCTGTCTGTATCCTTTCTGTATTCTTTAGTATAGCATAATGTAATATAATGTAATGTAATATAATGTAATGTAATATAATGTAATGTAATATAATGTAATGTAATATAATGTAATGTAATATAGTGTAATATAGTGTAATATAATATAATATAATATAATATAATATAATATAATATAATATAGTAATCAGCCTTCTGAGAACATGGAGTCAGATTTATCACCTTTCCCCTCATCAGGGTTGCTGCAAATTCCACAGGGCTTCACCTGCACCCTCCGTTATCCCTGTGAGATCCCTGCAGCTCAGGGCCTGAAGGCACAGGGAGCCAGCAGTGAGTTCCCTCCTCAGTTTGTCCCGGGGAAGGGATTTGTCAGATACATTTTCACTTTTGGAGTGTGTTTGCCTGTCTGACACAGAGACAGCCACAAGGTGTCCCTTCCTCTAAGGGCACAGTCACTATAGGAAATAAATTCATTATATGGAATAAAATAATGTGGAAATGCTGCTGTTCTTAAGGTAAAATGAGCAGTTTAATTTCTGACTCCAACATTTATAGATTTCCAAAAGTGACAGTGGATTGGAGGGTGACAGTGCCACCTCTCCAATGACACTGCACAAACAAACAGCCCATCCAATTTCTCCTCCTCCATAAAAGAATGCAAAACATTGAGTTATTTACAGAAAGTGTGGGAGAAAGTTCATTACAAGAATGTCAACATCAGAAGGATTAGAAAAACTTTAAATATCAGGGTGACAGGACACCTCCTGCTCTCTTTGGGGAAATATTTCCCTTCCATTCCCCCTGCTTTACTGCATGGATTGCATGAGTACAGGAGGAGCTGGAGCCAGGATCCAGAGCCTCAGTGCCACAAACCCCTGTGTTATCCTGGAAATACCCTGAAAATATCCTGAAAATACCCTGGAAATATCCTGAAAATATCCTGGAAATACCCTGAAAATATCCTGAAAATATCCTGAAAATACCCTGGAAATATCCTGAAAATATCCTGAAAATATCCTGAAAATATCCTGAAAATATCCTGAAAATACCCTGGAAATACCCTGGAAATATCCTGTGCAAGTCTCTAGGACGAGGCACCAGTTCAGGAACTCCTCCAGTCCCAACTCCACCATTCAGGAACTCTTCCAATTCGAGGTGGGAGAATTTGGCCTCCTGCAAACAGGAAATTACTGCAGTGACTCACTGCATTTATTGGCCAGTAAATCACATCAGAGGTTGCTCCTCTTTCTATTCTCCTCCAGCCCTTATCTTTAGGGAGATAGTTTTATCTTCTTGTTTATAACTTGTGATTACATCCACAGTAAAGCAGGAATTGGCCGGGGGTTTGGCACAGGTGTTGACCTGCACTGGTGAGGAATTGCCCTTTCTATGGCACAGAAAAGGCCAAAAATGCAATTTTCAGCCACGAAAAGAGAAGTGGATTTTCAAATCTGGTGAGGAATTGCCCTTTCTGTGGCACAGAAAAGGCCAAAATTGCAATTTTCAGCCACAAAAAGAGAAATGGATTTTCAAATCTGGTGAGGAATTGCCCTTTCTATGGCACAGAAAAGGCCAAAAATGCAATTTTCAGCCACAAAAAGAGAAGTGGATTTTCAAATCTGGTGAGGAATTGCCCTTTCTATGGCACAGAGAAGGCAAAATGCAATTTTCAGCCACAAAAAGAGAAGTGGATTTTCAAATCTGGTAAGGAATTGCCCTTTCTATGGCACAGAGAAGGCCAAAATTGCAATTTTCAGCCACAAAAAGAGAAGTGGATTTTCAAATCTGGTGAGGAATTGCCCTTTCTATGGCACAGAAAAGGCCAAAAATGCAATTTTCAGCCACAAAAAGAGAATTGGATTTTCAAATCTGGTGAGGAATTGACCTTTCTGTGGCACAGAAAAGGCCAAAATTGCAATTTTCAGCCACAAAAAGAGAAGTGGATTTTCAAATCTGGGGAGGAATTGACCTTTCTATGGCACAGAAAAGGCCAAAAATGCAATTTTCAGCCACAAAAAGAGAAGTGGATTTTCAAATCTGGTGAGGAATTGCCCTTTCTGTGGCACAGAGAAGGCAAAATGCAATCTTTAGCCATGAGAAAAGAAGTGGATTTTCAAACCTACCAACAAACCCCCTTGGAATGTGGACACTGCGAGGTCTCCAGGGCTTTGTATTTGTTTAACTGGGAATTTTGTGGTTCTGCTTCCAACCTCACCAGGTCCCTGGCGTTTTGAAAGAATCCTTTGTTGCTCTAATTTCAAACAGCTCCCATGAGCCTGGCTCTGCAAACAGGCACTGCTGGCTATGAGCTGTCCACCTCCAGCCCCATCCCTGGCTGCTCAACAGCAATTTTCAATCTGGACCCTCTAATAACGCTGCATGGAGTCCTCTTTCATCCACCAAGGCAGGGCAGGCTCCAGCTTGCACAGCAGGCACAGGGAGATCCCAAAAATGACTTTCCAGGATTTGTGGATGCTGCTTCAGCCAGTGCTGATTCCCACAGGGAGCTCCCTATGGGCTGAACTATTTCATTTAGTACCCAGTGAAACCTGGGCTGGGGAAAGTGGTTTTTACTCAAGAGTGTGGAATAATTTTCATTATCTTCCACAGTTTTAGTGATTTCTTTCTTGTGTTTTTTTACACAAGAGTGTGGAATAATTTCATTATCTTCCACAGTTTTAGTGATTTCTTTCTTGTGTTTTCTTACACAAGAGTGTGGAATAATTTTCATTATCTTGCAGTTTTAGTGATTTCTTTCTTGTGTTTTTTACACAAGAGTGTGGAATAATTTCATTATCTTGCACAATTTTAGTGATTTCTTTCTTGTGTTTTTTACATAAAAGTGTGGAATAATTTCATTATCTTCCACAGTTTTAGTGATTTCTTTCTTGTGTTTTTTATACAAGGGTGTGGAATATTTTCATTATCTTCCACAGTTCTAGTGATTTCTGTGTTTTTTACACTCTCCGTGCTTCTATTCTAAAAAAAGGGAGAAAATTTCAAGTATTAAAGGTGTAAGAAAAGCGGATATGATTGGGTGAGGGTCTTCAGTGGCAATCACCTGGGGCAGGGGTGAGGGTCAGGCTGGGTTTGGGCAGAAACAGAGCTGAGCTTTTAGCAAAGACAGGTTTGCACTGCAGGAAAAAGCACATCATCAGTTTTGTTCTGGGGTGGGATTTTTTTTTCTCCTTTGTACATTCCTGACATCCTGATGGATTCCTGACATCCCGATGGATTCCTGACATCCCGATTGATTCCTCACATCCCGATGGATTCCTCACATCCTGATGGATTCCTGACATCCCGATGCAGGAATTCACATTCCTGCTGTAATCTTTTCAGTAGAAATAACCAGCACCCTCTGAAGTTCTCAGTGAAAATTTAAAAACCCCTGCAATGAGGTGATTTGTGATGGGCAGCTCTGCACAACATCTCTCCCTGTGCACGTTCAGGCCGTGCTGCCCGAGGTTTGAGCTCCTTTTCTGCCTTTGGATGGAGGGTGAATCCCGTCTCTTCCCTGCTCCCTTGTTCCTACATGTTCCCGAGCACACACCCACTTTAACAGCCTCTGCCGGGGTAGGTGTTTGTCTGTCTCTCCCTCTGGATGCCAGCTCCGATCCCACCTGGCTGAAAAGCCTTTGTTGCAAAAGGTTTCCTTTATTAAAATCCTCCTTTGCATATTTGGGAGGGGGTGGGTTCGATTTGCACTGATGGAGAAAGGCAGGAGGAGGCTCTGCAGAGCCTGCTGAGGTGACAAACAAAATGTCAGGAGAGATTTGAAAGCTCGTCTTTAAAGAGAATTGTGCATCCCTAAAGGCGAACATAATCTGCGTAAATATACCCCGAGATAAGTGGATGGGGAGTGCTGAAAAGGCTGAATAATGGGGATATTTAAAATGAAGAACTGGAGCGGGGTATGGGTGGATTTTCCCCTGGGAAGCAGAGCAGGGATGTGGAGGCTCCATTTGCATGGCAAGCGCTGCAATTGAGATGTGACAATTGCGGCGGTGGCGGGGAGGGGGGGTGGTGACATCGCCGCGGGGTTTGTCACACGCTTTCGGAGTAAACATCCACCCGATTAATTACCCTGATTAATTACCCACGCCGGCACTGCCGCGGGGTCACCCGGGGTGGCTGGGAGCGGTGTCCTGAGCTGGGCGATGCTTCACAAAGGAGCAGAACCTTCTCTGGGGGAGCTGAAAACCCCTGCTGAAGGCAGGAGGGCACAGGGGGTACAGATGTGACGAATCCCAGCATCACTGAGGCTGGAAAAACCCTCCGGGGTCACCAAGTCCAACCTGCGACCCATCCCCACCCTGTCCCCAGCCCAGAGCACTCAGTGCCACCTCCAGCCCTGCCTTGGGCACCTCCGGGGATTTTAAATATCTTCATTACTCTGTATGTTATATTTTATTCTATACATTTTTCTCTATATTTATATTTTAAATATATTCATTATATCTTCATTATTCAGCCCTTTAAACACTCCCCATCCCTTTATCTCGGGATTTACAGATTATGTTCACACAGATTACGTTCACCTTTAGAGATGCACAATTGTCTTTAAATTGAGCTTTTCAACCTCTCCTGATGTTTTGTTGGTCACCTCATCAGGTGACACCTCCTTGGGCAGCTCCTTGCAGTGCCTGGCCACCCTTTCCATGGGGAAATTCCTGCTGATGTCCTCCCCTGCTGGAATTTGGGGCTGCTCCCTCTCTCCTTCATGTCCCTGGATAAGATCCCAAATCCTCTGCTCCTGGCAGGGAGCTGTGCAGAGCCACAAGGTCCCTCCTGAGCCTCCTTTTCCCCAGGCTGAGCCCCAAGGTCCCTCCTGAACCTTCTTTTCTCCAACCAGAGCCAGAAAGTCCCTCCTGAGCCTCTTTTTCTCCAGGCTGAGCCACAAGGTCCATCCTGAACCCCCTTTTCCCCAGGCTAAACCACAAGGTCCATCCTGAGCCTCCTTTTCTCCAAGAAAAACCATCAAAGTCCCTCCTGAGCCTCTTTTTCCCCAGGCTAAACCACAAGGTCCCTCCTGAACCCCTTTTTTTTCCAGACTGAGCCAGAAAGTCCCTCCTGAGCCTCCTTTTCTCCAAGCAGAGCCCCAAGGTCCCTCCTGAGCCTCCTCTGCTCCAAGCTGAGCCCCAAGGTCCCTCCTGAGCCTCTTTTTTCTCCCGGTGAGCCCCAAGGTCCCTCCTGGAGCTCCTTTTCTCCAGGCTGAGCCCCTTCCCAGCTCCCCAGGGCTTCTCCAGCCCCTCCACCCCACAGGTGAGGCTGACAATGGCCCTGTCCCCTGCCGGGTGATCCCCATTGTTTCATTTCCAAGAATTTCCTGCCCCTGACTCATCCCTGCTGGTGCTCCATGGTTACCTCCAAATGTTTTCCTTGGATCCACAGCTCCCTGGTGGCGTGTCCAGACTGTTTTTACCTCCCTGAAATGCTGCACCGTGACGAAATTCCTCCTGTGTGGGGCTGCTGGGAAGGCTCTGTCCCCCTCAGAGGGGAACTTTCCAGAGTTTTCACCTCTGCAGGCCAAGCAAAGCTCTTCTCCCCTGGGATATCATTTCCTAATTTTAATGCAGTGATCAGATGCAGTTGATTGTGGATGACTTCTCAGCTGTGTGGTCTTGAATTGCAGGTGATTAAAGGTGAAGAAATTATTTTAATCTGCCCGGTTTTGATGCCTTGAGGCATCTGGGGATGGGATTTGGTTTGCCCTCGGTGCAGCCCTGGGAATTATCAGTCTCCACGGGGAATGATGCAGTTGTGGGCTTGATTTTTGGTGGATTTCTGGAAAGATGAGGAAGGAGAGGAGCCCTGAGCTGCCGTGGGAGGGGTTTGCTGGTGTTCCACGTTTAAAATGCGCCGTTCAACCTAAAACTGCCCGGTCTGAGCCGTTCTGTGCAGCAACAGTGACCTCCCCTGGGCAGGAGGAGCTGCCAGCGCTGGGTGCTCCTGTTCCAATCCAGAATGGAATTATCACCCCGTCCCAAATGGAATTGGTCATCTAATCCACAGTGGAACTGGTCACCCATCCCAAATGGAATTATGAACTCATCCCAAATGGAATTGATCACCCCAGTCCCAAATGGAATTGATCCCTCAGTCCCAAATGGAATTGGTCATCTAATCCAGAGTGGAACTGGTCACCCAGTCCCAAATGGAATTATGAACTCACCCCAAATGGAATTGGTCACCCAGTCCCAAATGGAATTGATCCCTCAGTCCCAAATGGAATTGGTCACCCCAATCCCAAATGGAATTGGTTACCCAGTCCCAAATAGAATTGTCACCCAATCCTAAATGGAGTTTGTCACCCAATCCCAATGGAATTGGTCACCCCATCCAAATGGAACTGGTCACCCAATCCCAAATGGAATTATGAACTCATCCCAAATGGAATTGGCCACCCAGTCCCAAATAGAATTGATCCCCCAATCCCAAATTGAATTGGTCATCCCATCCCAAATGGAATTGATCACCCCAATCCCAAATTGAATTTGTCACCCAGTCCCAAATGGAATTGCTCCCCTAATCCCAAATGGAATTGATCACCCCAGTCCCAAATGGAATTGCTCCCCTAATCCCAAATGGAATTGATCCCCCAGTCCCAAATGGAATTGATCCCCCCAATCCCAAAGGATATGCAGCACTTCCCAGCTTTCCAAATAACTTTGGATCAACTTTTTTATTAATCACTTTTCTGACAGGGATCTTCATCAGTCTATACTGCACAAACATCCAGATAAAAGTTTAAATTTGGAGGCCTAATAGGGATGGAAAGACAAAAGGAATGAATCTTATTACTGTAGCATTTTGATGGCTTCTCCTTTGGTTGTTCCTCATTTAATCCATTTTCCACTAAGAAAGTTTTTTATTCAGACAACAACAACAAAAAAAAATTCAGACATTTCCCTTCTTTTGTTGGGGTTTTTTTCTCCTTCTGATTTCTTTGCCAAGCAAACCTTTAGGAATCATCTGCTGTGGTTTCAAAGGCAGCCAGTGTGTGCTCCCTCAGCTGATCAGCGCTGGGTTCTTAGCAGAGCACCTGAAATGGGAGATGGAGAGGAAAATTCAGAGGAAAATTCAGCCCTGAACTCAACCCTGCTGTGGGATGCAGCTGATGGAGCCAAACCTGCTGGTGGCTGCAGTGAGGACTTTGCTGAGCTCTGAGAGGAATAATTTGGATTTTGTGGTGTTGGAGGGGTTGAGTTACAGAAATTGCTCTGCATTTGCAGTGCTGTGGGCTCCCATCAGAGGATAAATGGCTGGATTTGATGAGTTTGCAGTGATCAGGGAATCCTCTTTTATTATTCTTGAACTCTTCCTCCTTCCCCAGCTGCAGAGGGGGAGATTCCTCGTTCCTGCAGAGGCTGGGGTGATAATTCCATGATAAAATTGCCCTTTCTCCAGGGCTGGGAATGGCACAGTCTGGCTCTCCACACCAGTTACCTCACTGCCCCTTGGAAATCAGAATATTTTTATTTTTAGCCACAATTATTATTATCAACCAAGGGAGGGAACTGAGTGGTTTAAGATGTTTCACTCTGCCAGGTCCTGGGGCCACCTTCCTGTTAAATTTTAATGGGAATGCTCAGGGTTCCACCTCCCTAGAACAGGGCTCGGGGATGTTTGTTCTTGCCATTATTTTTCACCCCTTCCTCCTGACGCCTCTGGAAACAAAGTGCACTCAGCTCCTGAGCTCAGAAATGAGAGGTGATGAGGAACAATGGCTCATTTCCTCAGGCTGGACTGGCTGCATGGAGGCAGACAGAAAAAATGGGAATTAAACCCATGGGGCTTCTTGGGGTTTTGCTCTTGAGGTGAAAACCAGACATTAGCGCGGAGGAATTGGCCACATCCATTTGTGCAGGCACTGAAGAGATCTGAAATAAATGTTAATTTATATTTACAAACTCTGAAAGGCACTGGTGGTTCATCTTTCAAACAAATAACCTTCAGTGCTGGCATCAGCTGCAGCTCCAGGGCACCAGGGCGAAAGCATTTCCAAGCTCAGCACTTTCTATTCCTTCTGAAATGCAGATTTTTTTTTAGGCTACCTGAAGTGGTTTGGGAATTTCTGTGCTGTTATTTGGGTTGAAGGAGATTAGAGCAGAAAGCACAGGGAAAAATTGTGATAATTAAGTTTGGCTTTTGAGACGTGTTGTGAAATATTTTTGTAGAAATGAAACTGAATTTTAATTTGTGATGAATGAAAAGCAGAACGAGGTCAAGAAAATCGAGAGGAAGGTAAAAAATAAATATAAAATGTTTTTCTATCCCGGTTTGTGTCACTAGATGGTGCTGGAAATCAGACCAAAAAAACCCTCAGCAGCAAAAAACCCTCAGCAGCAAAAAACCCTCATCAGATTCCAAACAAGTCCAGCAAAAGGGGAAATAGAGGAGAAGGAGTGGAAATTTAATGTTGGAACAAATCCGATGTTTGAGGATGATGTGTGAGGGCTTCCCTGTGGCTTAACACGTGCAGAGCACGGCAGAAATTCCATTTTTAATGCTTTTCCCTCCTTGCAGAGCTGATGTCCCAAACAGCTGTGTTGGTTTCTGGCAGCTCCACCGGGAGCTGGCACAAAGAGGGGGTGGGAGGGACAGAGCTGGGTTCAGCAGAGCTCGGGTGAGGGCTCAGGGGACTCACGGCAGGTGGGATTTAAATGAGGGAATTGTGGAACACAGCAGGGCCATGTCATTGTAAATGAGAGAATTGTAGAACACAGCAGGGCCACGTGGCACAGGAAATGTCCCCTTCTCGTGGCCCTGCAGCTCACTGGGTAACTCAGATCTCGTTTGATTTCCACCTATCCACACCAAACCCCAGTTTCAGCAAAGCTGAGGCCTATTCCAGGCCCAGCAGAGGACAAACTCCAATTTAGGATGCTCAGGGTTAACATTTTGGCAGCTGAAGCCACAAAACCACTTATTTTTTTTTGGAGTCTGGGTGCTTGAGCTTCTCCATTTACAGCTGGGTGTTTTGAGGGATCGTTTCTCTGCTTTGCTGCTGCAATACAATGCCCTGGCCTGCAGCCAGGCCAAACAGGCTCCTTCCAGCTCTTGCACAAGAAATGTCTCCCTCACCTTTGAATTCCTGCAGCACTTGGGAGCTGCTCTTCTCTCCAGGGCCTCAAAGAGCTTCTCTTGCTTAAAGTGGGTTTTTGCACGTTGGCAAAATGGGGAATTTGGGCCCCAAACCCCCGAATTTTCACATTGTTATCATTTATTATTATTATTATTATTATTATTATTAGGCACCAAACCCCTGAATTTTCACAATGATAATAATATTAATAATAATAGTAATAATAATAACAACAACAATAATAGCAATAATAATAACAATAACAATAATAATAATAATAATAATAATCTCTTAAATCAGGAATTTCAGGGCTGCAATGTCCCTAAAAACCTGCAATGTCCCTCAAAACCTGCAATGTCCCTAAAAACCTCCATGTCAGGGACTCTGGAGCCTGATCCTCAGCCAGGGCAACTGAATAAAACCAGAATTAAGCTGGGTTAAATTGCACCTGCTCTGTATTAAATCTGGCAGCAGGAAAATTTGCTTATTTGGGGTTAATAATTAAAGCCGTACACAAGTGGGGAGAAGAAAATAAAGGCCCTAAATCCATTTGAGTCCTCTGAAAGTCACAAACAACAATGGGGTTTAATCTGGGCTCAGGTTTCAGAGCCCTTTCCCATCCACCCAGATTTTATTTCACTGCCAGTGGCCTCCATCCAAATTCCTTCAGCATCAGGGAAACAACTCCCACTGAGGTCACTCCATGGCTGCAGAAAAAATGGGGAGAAATTGTTTTATTGAGGCATAAAAATGCTGCTTATTCTGTGTGTGGTTGGGCATGGGGACAGAAAAAAGCCACGGAAAATAAAGATTTGGAGATTTGTGGGGAAAAACAGGTGAGGGCTCCCCCAAGCTGCTCCTGCAGGGATGGGAAAGGTCAGGATTGTGGTCATTGCTTGGGAAGTTATTGCACTTTGCCTGAAAAAGGAGTAAAAATATTGTTATTCTTTATCCTCAACCTCAAAGAGTAGCCTGGAATGGATAAATAATTTTGATTTCAAGAGAAACACAATGCAAACCCCAAAAAAATTTCTGTAGAAATGGAATTTATTGGGATTCTGGCTGGTCTGAGAGGATGCAGCAATGAAAAATCCCTACTCTTAAGGTCAATATCCAAATTAATGATATCCAAAATTAACTCTTAATTATGACATTTGTTCTTTGCATAATAACTCTGAATAAGAGCAGAACCCTGCAAAAGAGCCCTGTAAAACTTCTGAGCCTTCTGAGCTATTTGATTTGTTAAATGATGTGTATTTTATTGCCTTTTTGGTTTTCTTTGGTAATTGTGACAGCTGA